TTGTCTTTACTTGCATTTTCTTTACAACTAGGGATGGTGAACATTCCCTCATGTGTTTCTTTGCCATTTTTATCTCTTCTTCTGAGAAGTCTCTCTTTAGTTCCCTTGCCCATTTAGTAATTGATTTGTTAGGTTTGGGAGGGATTAGTTTCTTGAGTTCCCTCTATATAACGGATATTATCTCCTTATCTGATATATTGCTGGTAAATATTTTTTCCCAGTTAGTTGGTTGCCTTTCTAGCTTGGTTGCTATGACTTTAGCTGTGCAGAAACTTTTTATTTTACGGTAGGCCTATTTGTCGAGTCTCTCTCCAATTTGTTGTGACCCAGGGATTCTATTGAGGAAGTTCTTCCCTGTGCTTATAAGTGCAAGTGTCTCTCCTACTATGTCCTGCAGTAGTTTCAGAGATTCAGGTTTAATATTAAGGTCTTTAATCCATTTTGAGTTGATGTTAGTGCTTGGTGACAGGCTGGGGTCCACTTTTAATATTCTTCATGCGGCTGCCCCGATTTTCCCAGCACTAGTAGTAGAAGAGGCTGTGATTCTTCCACTGTACATCTTTGGCAGCTTTGTCAAATATCAGCTGACTGTAGGCATGTAGTTTTATTTCTGCATCTTCTATTCTATTCCATTGGCCTTTGGGTCAGTTTTCGTGCCAGTACCAGGCTGTCTTTGTTATTATGGCTCTATAGTAGAGTTTGAAGTCTGGCATTGAGATCCCTCCCATGTTGTCTTTTTTGCCTAGAATTGTTTTGGCTATTCTATGTCTTTTGTTGTTTCATATGAATTTTTGGACTGTTTTCTGTACTTCAGGATTGTAAATCGTTAGGATTTTGTATTTGCTTAAGTTCCTTGGATGAACTGATGGTGGTCTATTTTGGAGAAAGTTCCATAAGCTGCTGAGAAGAACATGTACTCTTTCATTTGAGGGTGAAATACTTGGTAGATGTCAGTTAGTTCTGCTTGAAATATGGCCTCACTTAATTGGGTAGCATCTTTGCCAATCCTCTGGTTGATAGACCTGCCATTTGGTGAGAGTGGGGTATTAAAGTCTCATAGTATTATCGTATTTGGATCTATTTTATTCTGTAAGTTTGAGTTTTTGCTTAATATATTTGAGCGTTCCAATGCTTGGGAAGTATAGGCTGATAATGGTAATATACTTTCCTGGATTGTTCTCTGTATTAATATGTAGTGTCCTTCCTTGTCTTTTTGTATTGATTTTAATGAAAAGTTTATTTTGTCAGATATCAGGATAATTACTCCTGATTTCTTACTGAGGGCATTTGCTTGGTAGATCTTTCTCCAACCCTTCACTCTGAGTTTGTTTGTATGTTCGGTGAGAGGTGGGTCTCCTGAAGTCAACAGATGGATGGGTTGTGTTTTCTGATCCAATCTGCAGTTCTTTTTCTTTTGATTGCTGAATTGAGTCCGTTAATATTTATGATTATTATAGAGAGATGCATTGCAATTCCTGTAATTTCCTGTTTTCCTAAGTTTTTCTTCTTTCCTTTCCTCCTGTGCTTACTAAGTTAGATTTCTAGTGATACCTTTCTGATGAGGATCACAGTTCCTGATGTTTTCTTCAGCTTGTGTTCCCCTTCTTAGTATTCTTTGCAATGCTGGTTTATTGTTTATTGTTCATTTAATTTTTCTTTCCTATTAAAAATTTTAGTTTCTCCATCGAATGTGAATGCTAGCTTTGCTGGGTATATAAGTCTGGGCTGGCAGTTATTGGTTCTCAGGTCTTGAACCTTACATTCCCAGGCCTTTCTTGCATTCAGTGTCTTTGTGGAGAGATCTGCACTTTGCTGCGAGGACAGTAAAGGTTGGGGATGGGGACTTCAGCTTTTCGGTACTGAAATTCTTTCCTTTCTTTCTCTTTTGTTTTTTTCCACCTCCTGTTTTTCTCTGGATGTTCGTGCTTTTCTTGTTTTGGTTGCTTGGGGAAATTAAGCATTGGAAATCAACCTCTCTTTTGGTTGGAGAGAACTGTGTATTTCCCTACTGTCCCATTGCCATCTCGTCTCCCCTCCCCATCCTTGGTTCTTTACACCTTGGATGTGTCTAAAGACAGAGGCAGCTCTATCCAGTAAGTACAGATGTATTTGATGAGTGAAGAGTCATGGAAATATCACCTCTTAATCATAAATACTGACATAATGGTTTTGTCTAGCCAGATGTTAGGACAGCACAGTAAAAATTATTTCACCACTTGTGTGAATGCCAAAGTTCACCATGTTTTATATGTTCTTCCTTGTGTTTGATTACCAAAATGGGCAACCAAAACATTTTTTTTCTACCTATACAGAACTGGCTGTTTCCTGTTGAGGTCTTCACCAAACTACAATACATGTGTTATTCTAAACTATTTCTGAGTACTACAAAGGGACTATCACAATGATATTAAAGGTCAAGACTTTGGTTATAAAAACAGCATCAATGATATTATTAGGAGATTCTATTTTGCCCAGCTATGTTCATTGTGCTCTCTGTTGCTCTTTTTATTTCATATGCTTCATCTTTCTGTACTTCACATGGAATTTACATCAGGGCCACCTAGAGAAATGAAAGTGACACATATAAATATGGATTTTTTTGGGGGGGCTGGTTCTGATATTTGAAGTCAGGGTATGGGTGTTGTTTCTGAGCATTGTTTTTGTGTAAACCTAGTGCTTTACCATTTGAACCACAGATATATTCTGGCTTTTGTTGGTTCATTGCAGATAAAAGACTCATGAACTTTCCTTCCCCAGGCTGTCTTGGAACCCTGAGGAGTGAACTCTTGGAACTCTGAGGAGTGAAGTTTACAGGCCTGAGGCATGGGTGCTCAGCAGAGTGAGTGATTTTAATGTATCTCATAAGTGTATAGAAACACACTGTGATAGCTCTCTATGCAATGGACTTGCTGCTTATGGACATAAGGCATGAGACTAGGATAATTCTGGTAGGTTGCCCCCTTTGACAAGGTAAATATCCATTTCATTCCACTGAGAGCACAGGAACAGGTGCATTGTACCTTAACCTCTTTCCTTAGAAATGACTTAAGCTTATTTCCTATACTATTGGAGTAGGATGAATATATAAGGGAAACTAGCTATTTATTATTAGCATAAATGGTAAGTTTATACTTAATAAAGGGCAAACAGTTATTGGAGTTGAAGTTTCCTTGTTCCTATTTCTCTAGTGGGCAACTTATCAGAGCTTCAAAAGTTTAATGTAGATATTTGACATGGTAGTCTAACACTCATTTGTTTAGTATAGGTAGGCTGTTTTGATTCTCATTAAAGTGTTATTGTAGCAAAATCCATCAATGTCCCTGTGTTATATGATATTTGCTCAACAATGGCAATTGTTACATAAGCACCTATACAGAACAGCGAGCCCTCTCTTCTTTGAGTCCTTGTAAGTGGGAATAATCTATTTGGCTTCCAGATATTTCTGTCTTTGTGCAGATGCTTTTCTGTTTTCCAGCAGTGTGCCAGCAGAATTAGAGACAGCGCTGTGTGTGTCTCTGTCATGCATGCGTGGGTGATGTCACTCCAATGAGCCACAGTGACAACATTGAATGATGTCAAGATCTCTGGAGTCAGAGACATGATCTTGCTTGTCATTTGGACTCCTCCTGACTCTACAATGCAGTGGTGGCCTTACAATATTCCTACTTCAAGCTCCTCAACACTTCTGATTTCTTAAGGGACTCTTCTAAATCATTCTTGTTCTCATAGAATTATAAAGAACATTGAGAAATACGGAGTCTGAGCCTATCTAAATGTTTTTCCTCTCTTTGGGGAGCTTTGTCTCTTCTTATAAATCATTCCATTCCTTCTTCCATTAATACTGAGGATTCTTAGGGACTGGGATGACAAGGCTCTGCTTGGCCATTTGTGCACTCTGTATCTTTGACTTTCAATGATAAATAATGATCAATAACTATTGCTACAGCTTCTCATTTCGACAGATCTAGTTATTTTGGTGCCCTTGCATTTCTTCCAGAAAAAAATGCTAGATTCCTGTGGGAAACTGGAGCAGATTAATATTCTGCTCTACAACTCTTAAGGAAGGAAGCGTGAGAATGAGAGATTTTCTTAAAAAAAAAAAAACTGCACTCGCTAATATAGAAAATAGAAAATATGTGAACTGCACAGTGTTTTGTACATCTCATTGTTACAATGGTCAACCTCTATACCTATTACAGCATTTTCTTTTTCCCCTTTCCCTCCCAAAATTAGAGAACTGTATATAGAAAATACAGAGTACCAGAATCAAATATAGTGAAAACAAGGGTTATACCGTGGAGGAGGAACATACAAAGAAAAAAATCATATAGAACTTTACAACTTCAGCATCTTAAGGGTAAGTAATTGTGGAGGTTGGAGAGAAGGGATTGTAGGGGGGAAACAAAGGAAGAAGCAACAATGCTTGATACAAAATGTACTCATTACCATGTTCATGTACCTGGAACCCCTCCATACAGTATTTTTACAATAAAAAACGTACAAAAAAAGAGAAATGCAATAAAGAAAATCTGTGAAAAGAAATACAAAACTAGATCAGAGAATGGACTCGAGGTACCATAATGCAATCATGGAAACGTTCGACAACATAATGTTCATATACTAGTAGCCTTAGCAATATAGTGATGTACAAGCAGCAATATAGCATAGATAGAAAGAGTAATTGAAACAGGAAAGAGAAAGGAAGAAGCACAGTACATAATATACTCATAAGGAAGAATGACAGCATAAAGGGCAGATTGCACTGGAAGAAGCATAATATATCCAAGTTAGAATGCAATTTAGGAGGACTTGTTGGGAATTTGCTATGACTCTAACATAAGCAGAGGAATGAATTAGAGTCAATACTTTGTTCAAATAATTCCTCAAATTAAACTAAGTTGTGATTGCCAAATTGATACAGATTTCTCTCAAAGGCTTTATACATTCTAAACAACACATGTTCAACTTAATATGTATTTCTTCTAGAATGTGATCTCTACCTGAATCTGGACAGAGAATTTCTCTGAGATCTTATCAAGATGATGTAGCACTTAGGGACAAAGATGCAGCCGAGGAGGCCTCCACTGGAGGCCAAGACAGAGAAGAACTCCACAGCCATCAGGACTTTACCCTTGGCACTGTGGAGGACAGGCAGGAAGGTGAGCCACACACTGCAGAACAACAGCATGCTGAAAGTCAGAAACTTGGCCTCGTTGAAGGTGTCAGGGATGTTCCTGGCCAGGAAAGATACTGTGAAGCTGGCTAGGGCCAGGGCACCCACGTATCCCAAGACACAGTAGAAGGCACTGAGGGAGCCCATGTTGCATAGGATGATGATATGTCCATGTTCAGAGTGTGCATCTATGTCCACAAAGGGAGGAGAGGTTCCCAGTCAGAGGCCATAGAGAGTCACCTGGATTAGGGTGCAGATGGGGAAGATGAGGTTAGGAGCCCAGGACACAAGCCACTGTCTCCTGCATCTCCCTGGAACAGTGAGCGTGAAGGCCAGAACCACAGAGATGATCTTGTCCAGGACAGTAGAAACAGCCATGGTGAAGACCATTCTGAATATTTTGTGCTGGTGGAAGCAGGTGGCTGTGTGGGGACGGCCAAGGAAGAGCAAGGAGTAGAGGAAGCAGCAGATGAGGGAGATGAGCAGGATGTAGCTGAGGGCCCGGTTTTTGGCCTTGACAATAGGGGTGTCTTGGTGCTTGAGAAACACCCCAAGAAGAACAGATGTGAGTGCAGTGCAGCAGAGAGCCAAGCAGGACAGAAACACACCCAAGGGGTCTTCATAAGCTAGGAAGCTCTTAGTTTTTACCAGACGTTGGTTTCTTTCAGTGTTGCCAAACTGATGATCTGCACACCTCACACAGTGCTCCATGTCTGGTGAGGAGTGAGAATCATTGTTAGTCTGTATTCAGAATTTCTCTTTCCTCTCATCCCTCTCCAATTAAGCAGCTCCTTTTCCCTGACACACCAGTTGACTTTTATGTGGTGATTGCCGGGATTTTCCCCCCTTTATTCTTGGGAATTTGTTCCCAACATGAATGACCTTTCCATGCACCAACAGAGCTTTCAGTAAGTGATTTCTTTGGTTTTCTTAAAATTTGCATTTTCTGTTTGGTTATCAGACTGGTTGGGGGAAGTTTGGTTGCATCCACTAATTTTCTCTGGATCTTCATTGTCCTCACCACAGCAGCTCTACTTTATTTCATGTTTTCTTGATGAATATTTTTCTTCTTTCCAAAGAGCAGAGAGGTTTCTGCCTGTCTTCAATTCTGCTCCCCTTTTCCAGGGCTGCCCCAACAACCCCACCATCACTGGGACTCCTCCAGTCATCACTGTTCCTCAGGGTCAATTGGGTGAACAACAGTCCACACGAAGACACTAAAATGCAATGTCCCCATTCATAGGGCAAAGGCCAAGGAACTTTGAATCAATTCTCTTCTTTGTACTTTTCAGAACAGGTCCAATGTTTGGACCTTCTTCAGGGCAACATTTCTTAGGATAGACATGCAGTTTCTGCTTCTGGGGTTATTTCATGTCAGTAAAGCTCTGGAAATGAGGAGCTGCTGGTCAGATCAGGAATAAGAGATCCATGACGTTTGATTTTTTTTTCCCTTTAACTAATGTAAGTAAGCCTCTGCCCTGCTGTAGTTATCTCAGCCTGTATCCTATATCATTCCCAGAAGTTTGGTTTCTATACTATGTTCTCTGCCATATTTCCAGGCTTATCTATTTTTCCCCTACTCATGCTTTCTTTTTTATTTTTAATATTTTTGTTGTAAAAATACTGTACAGAGGGTTACAGTTACATGAGTAAGGTAATAAGTACGTTATCTATCGAGCATTGTTGCCTCTTCTTTGTTTTTCCCCTATCATCTCTTCCTTAGCCACCTCCAAAAGTAAGTACTGCCTGCCTTTCCCCTACCCAGCCCCCTGAAATTGTAAAGTTTATTTTCAACATAGTGTCCTGTGCGTCTTATTGTTACAATGGCTGGACCTATATCCCTATTTAAGCATTTTGTTTTCTTCCCTACCCTCCCCAAATTAGAAATATATATATATACAAGATGCAGGACAGTGACATTAAATACAGTGAAAACAGGGGGTATAACAAAGAAACAAAAAAATCACTTAGTACATTATAAATGTTAAAAACAATAGCAAGAAAGAAAAGACTACTTGTGCACTTTCTTGGGGTTAATTTCCCTTAACATCATCTTACATGGTCATATATATACATAGCTTTTGACCTTTCTGCTTGACCTAGACTTATACTAGTTATTTCAAATAAGGGAAACCATGGGACCTATGTTTCTTTGGGCCTATCTTGCTTCACTTAATGTAATTTTTTCCAAGTCTTTCCATTTTCTAACAGATGGGGTGATGCCATTCTTTCTGATGGAGGCATACAATTAAATTGTGTGTGTGTGTGTGTGTGTGTGTGTGTGTGTGTGTGTGTGTGTGTGTGTGTGTGTATCACATTTTCTTGATTCATTCATCTACTGAGGGGTATCTGGGTTGGTTCCATATCTTTGCTATGATAAATAATGTAATAATTCTGTGATAAACATCATTGTTCTGGTAGCTTTAGTAAGGTCTTGTCTGTGATCATTCAGGTAGATGCCCAAAAGTGGGATTGCTAGTTCATCGGGGAGTTCTATGTGGAGTCTTTTGAGGAACCTCCATACTACTTTCCAAAGTGGTTGAACAAGTTTACACTCCCACCAACAATACAGTAAGGTTCCCTTTTGGCCACATCCCCTCCAGCATCTGTTGATATTAGATTTCTTGATTATAGACATTCTAACTGGGGTGAGGTGGAATCTCAATGTTGTTCTGATTTGCAATTCTTTTGTATCTAGATAAATTGAGCATATCTTCATATGTCTATTGTCCATTCTTATTTCCTCTTTAGAGAAGTTTCTCTATGTCTTTAGCCCACTTACTTCCCATGCATTTTTTGAGGATTTGTTGTTGGGGGATTTAATTTTTTGAGTTCTAAGTCTATTTTAGATATGAGACCCTTGTCTGTTGTATGGCTAGTGAGGATCTTCTCCAAATCTGTGGGCTTTTTCTATTGATCTTGCTGTTTATGTAATTTGGTATGCAGAAGCTCTGCAGTTTCATGCAATCCCATTTTGTCCAATCTTTCTTTGATTTTTTGAGTTTCTGGGTCTCTATTAAGAAAATTTTGGCCTATGCCAAGATCATCTAGGGTTTCTCCTATACCTTCCTGTACTGTTTTCAGGGTGTAGGCTTTGATTCTGAGGTCTTTGATACATTTGGAGTTGATTTTGTTGCAAGGTGATATATAAGGATCTAGCTTAGTTTTCTAGAGGTGTTAAACCAATTTTTCCAGGACCATTTACTGCTGAGGATGTCTTTCTTCCATGCTATTTTTTTTAGCTCCCTTGTCAAAAATTAGATGACTATAGGTCTGTGCATTCATTTCTCGGTCTTCATTTCTATTCCATTGGTCCTAAGGTATGATCTTGTGCCAACACTAAGCTGCTTTGATTACTATGGCTTTGTAGTTAGGTTTCAGGTTTGGTATTGATATTTCTCCAGCACTGAAAGGATCGTTTTTGCTATTTAGGGTCTTTTATTGTTCCATATGATTTTTTTGGATTGTTTCTTCTAGTTCATTGAAAAATGAGGTTGGAATATTGATAGGTATTGCATTGAATTTGTCGATAGCCTTTGGAAGTATTGCCATTTTCACAATGTTATTCTCCCAATCCAGGAGATTGGGAGGTTTTTTCACTTCCTAAGTCTGCTTTAATTTCCATTTTCAGGTTTTTAAATTTTTCACCATAGAGGTGTTTCAATTGTTTAGTTAACTCCTATGTATTTTATTTTTTGTGTGGCTATTACAAAAGGAGTCATTGCAGCCATGCTCTTTTCATACAGAAGAGCATACAGAAAAGCCAATGAATTTCGAGAGTTAATTTTATACCTGATACTTTGCCAAAGTTTCAAATCAGCTGAAGCAATTTGGGAGTGGAGTCCATGGGATTCTTTTTCTTTTTCTTTTTTTGGTTGGTCATGGGGCTTGAACTCTGGCCTGGGTGCTGTTTCTTAGCTCTTCAGCTCAAGGCAAGCCCTCTTCCACTTGAGCCACAATGCCACTTTCAGTTTTCTAGTGATTTATTGGAGATAAGAGTCTCGGGGACTTTTCCTGCCCAGGCTGGGTTTGAACTGCTATCCTCAGACCTCAGCCTCCTGAGTAGCTGGAATTACAGGCGTGAACCACCAGTGTCTGGCTTCCATGGGATTCTTTAAATACAAGATTATGCCATCTGCAAAGAGGGGAGTTTTACTTCATCTTTCTCTATTTGGATCCCATTTATGTTTGCATCTTTTCTTATTGTTGTTGCTAGGCATTCTAATATGAAATTGAAGAGAAGTGGAGAGAGTGGACATCCTGTGTCATTCCTGAGTTTAGAGGAAATGGCTTTATCTTTTTGTCATTAAGTATAATGTTGGCTTGTAAGTTTGTCTAACACTGCCTTTATTATATTGAGGAATGTTCCATGGATTCTTAGTTTTTCTGGAGATTTCATCATAAATGGTATTGAATCTTGTCAACTGATTTTTTTGCATCTATTAAGATAATCATGTGGTTCTTATCCTTACACTTGTTGATGTGATAAATTATATTAATTGATTTGCATATATGGAACCAGATTTGCATCCCTGAATGAATCCTGTTTGATCATAGTGTATGATTTTTTTGATGAGTTGTTGAAGTGAGTTGGCCAAAATTTTGTTGAGAAGTTTTGCATCCATGTTCATCAAAGTAATGGGTGTATAGTTCTCTTTTTCTCATGAGTCCCTGCCTGTTTTGGGGATGAGGGTTATGATGGCTTCATAGAAAGAGTTTAGTAGTATATTTTCAATTTCATTGAAGAGTTGGAAGAGTATTAGTGTGGGATCTGCATTGAAGGCCGTGTAAAATTCCACTGTAAATGCATCTGGTCCTGGCCTTTTCTGAGTTGGGAGGTTTCTTATTACTGTTTATATTTCAATGCTTGATATAGATCTGTTAAGTTGGTGTAATTCAACTTGGTTTAGATTCCACATGTCAATATTTGGTAACAAATCTTCCATTTCCTCCAGATTCTCAAACTTATTCCTAGTCATAACTTTCAAAACTGGATTTGAAGTTTTTCATATGTTTTATACACATTTTGATTCATGCATTTGAATGCAGGTGAGCTCACTACTTTCAGATCTCCAGAAATCCCTGTAAACTAGGAAGTCACAGATAAATCTTCTCAGACAGTTGTATGGAAACATTCTGTATGTGCT